GAACATACGATATATTTTGTAGTAATCAAAAAACATATTGTAAGACATCGACAATTCTATTTCGTGAGATATACAAATAAGTGAAGTTATGAAAGAAAAAAAAAACATATTGTAAGACATCGACAATTCTATTTCGTGAGATATACAAATAAGTGAAGTTATGAAAGAAAAAAAACATATTGTAAGACATCGACAATTCTATTCGTGAGATATACAAATAAGTGAAGTTATGAAAGAAAAAAAAACATATTGTAAGACATCGACAATTCTATTTCGTGAGATATACAAATAAGTGAAGTTATGAAAGAAAAAAAAACATATTGTAAGACATCGACAATTCTATTTCGTGAGATATACAAATAAGTGAAGTTATGAAAGAAAAAAAAACATATTGTAAGACATCGACAATTCTATTTCGTGAGATATACAAATAAGTGAAGTTATGAAAGAAAAAATAAACATATTGCTGTTAAGCCTGCGTGGCTTTCGAACCTTTGAAACCGAAACTATGAAACCTATTTTACTGTTTAACCTTAGTCTAACATGATAGCTTTCTGTTTCTCCCTTATAAAAACGTTTGGTAATGTTCTCACCAATCAGTCAATATATAAACAAACTAGATCATGAGATGTGCTCTCTTATTATTACTTATCTGTTTACAGTTTACATTTGTAAAAAAGTAAAGTTATTTCCTTAGAAGTTCTGATAAACTTCATCAGTAAGACGCTAGTAATATTGTACAGTCGAATAGTGTAGATATCTTACACCTGCAGACATGGTTACTAGATATATTACACCTGTAGACATGGTTACTAGATATATTACACCTGTAGACATGGTTACTAGATATATTACACCTGTAGACATGGTTACTAGATATATTACACCTGTAGACATGGTTACTAGATATATTACACCTGCAGACATGGTTACTAGATATATTACACCTGTAGACATGGTTACTAGATATATTACACCTGTAGACATGGTTACTAGATATATTACACCTGTAGACATAGTTACTAGCTATATTACACCTGCAGACATGGTTACTAGCTACATTACACCTGCAGACATGGTTACTAGATACTTTGCACCTGCAGACATGGTTATTAGATACTTTGCACCTGCAGATTATATATATTACACCTTCAGACATGGTTACTATATATATTACACCTTCAGACATGGTTAATGTATATATATTACACCTGTAAACATGGTTACTAGATATATTACACCTGTAAACATGGTTACTAGATATATTACACCTTCAGACATGATTACTATATATATATTACACCTGTAGACATGGTTACTAGATATATATTACACTTTCAGACATGGTTACTATATATATATATATATATATTACACCTGTATACATGGTTACTAGATATATTACACCTTCAGACATGGTTACTATATATGTATGTATATATTACACCTTCAGACATGGTTACCATATATATATATATATATATTACACCTGTAGACATGGTTACTAGATACATTACACCTTCAGACATGGTTACTAGACAGATTCAATCTTCTACGGTTTACCACCGGTAGTTCTTTCCGTCTCCTGGAGTCCAACTGTGATGATGAATCCCAGGAGCAGGAGCTTCCCACCAGTCATCAACTATTTCTACAGAATAAGCTCGATGGCGCGAAAGACGTAAAAATTGGAGACTATTAAAGCTGTGTAATAAAACCACAAGCGTTTTAACTTGTACTCTGCCACGTTCCTGACGGCTTCATATTACCAAGTTAAATACCGTGACGCCGTTTGTGGATTATAAGAGGAAGCCTACCTCTGAGACGTGTATATGTTTAGGTGATTAATTAGGAAGCTTATTTCACAGAAGGTGAATATATTACATACATTTCTCGGAGCAAAAACCTAAATCACCTAAATCCTTGCTTATTTCGTTGCCAAGTACCACACTTTGACCAGCTTAATATTTAATGCAGGCTTCTTTCCACGTCTTTTACAACATCTTGACACATGTCGTATTATTATGATCATAATTCATTTTAAGTCTAGTGGAAAAACCTTTAAAAAAATTGCAAACACCTAATGTATCTATCTACCTACAGTCACTGAGGGGTTTGAAATTAGACTCATTTTATTTGAGTCTCTTTAAATTTAAATTTTAAAGCTTTTTTATGTGCTTACAATCTGAGGGTCGCGGGTTCGAATCCCCGTCACACCAAACATGCTCGTTCTTTCACAGAGGGAAGGCTGTCAAGTGGGTTGCATCCTTGACGTAAGAAACAGCTTTAGAAACGATGGCAGAGCAAGATCTGCCATCGGCTCAACGGTCCGCAAGGACTATGTGAAATGAAAAAAAATGTGCTTAAAAGTTATCTATAATTAACATTAACAATTTCGGGATTGTTAATTTTTCTGCTACATTAATAGTATCTGTACGTCACCGCTTCGGAAGCTGGTGTCAGTTTCATCAAACACACATATATTTACTAAAAATACAAGTGATTATGTAGAAGGTGAGTTAGCGTTTTAATGCAACTAAAAATTCACAGATAAACTAAACAATAGAAGAAAATAATAAATGGACGACAAACATAACCGTAATCATAAAAAAAATAGAATTTTTATCACACAACGAGGCAACTGAGTGCGAGATTGATTGTAGCGGCCTGTTCATTTTAGACCGTTACAAAATGTCAAATGAGAATCAACTTTTGGGGCACCCTGTACTTTATATGATTAATCTGTTGCGTGAAATATGTTGTCCTGACAGTTTCTTAGTCAATTAAAGTAGTTTCAGTTATCTTATTAAACTAGAAAAGTTTTATTATTAATCTTTTTTAAGCTAAATAAATAATTTATTTATTTATGCATGTTGGTGGAGTATTCATTATCTCGAGCACACGGATGACTTTACTTAGATTAAAACACCTACTTATCACCCAAAGCTTAGGACTGTTAAGTTTTAAAAAATAATGCTTCTAATCATAATGGTATAGCATATTCAAAAGATTTGAAGAATAATGTTTGCCTGTACGATAACGTTATGTTTAATTGCGTTTTTTCATCTCCTTAAATGAACACTGAAATACACATTCTACCTGCTCTCAGATGGACGTCTCTACTTCCAACCTTACCCACAGAGTTGGAAGCCACACAGCGGTAAACAGAGGAATGGATATCCTGTCGAAAATACTCCGAGCGGAAAGGTGGAAAGACGAGAGTACCGTTAGACAAAGAAACCCTCAAACCAGGTATATCGCTTGCTTCAGTACCATCGGCTAAAACCCAAATGGTGTCTGGTGTAGGGTTTCCTGTAACCAGGCAATGAATCGACGTTCCGGAGTTGTTGAGGAACGTCACTTTTGGAGGAGGCTCTAAAGAAATTCTCGGAGCTCTGTATTCTGACATTGAAGATGCTTCTGAAAAGAACAAGAAATGTAGGGTTAGATGTATCAAAGTCAAAATGGAAGATTGGCTTGTTCATTAAAACAGTTGTTAGAATAACAATACTCGAGGCTCCTGCATCTTTCCAAAACACTTGGTGGTCTTTGTTAAAATAAAATACAACTTCTATATGTAATCAACTAAAATCAAAAGCCATGTTAGAATTTTCTCCAATCTTTGTGGATAAAGCGCTTGACTGGCAATCTGCGGGTCGCAGGTTCGAATCCCCGTCACTGAAAATGCTCGCCCTTTCAGCCGAGGAGGCGTTCTAATATGACAGTCAATCCCACTATTCATTGGTAAAAAGAGTAGCCCAAGAGTTGACAGTTGCTGGTATTGACTAGCTGTCTTCCTTCTAGTCTATCACTGCTAAATTAGGGACGGCTAGCGCAAATAGCCCTCGTGTAGTTTTGCTCAAAATTCAAGATAAAACACACAATACAAACATTGTGGTTTCGACTTACATTTAAAGAAACAAAATGAACTGGAAACATCTGCCTGTAAATCATTGATTTGGGTATATTTTATTAGGAAGTAAGCATTTTTTATATTCTAAAACAATTTCACATTCAAAGAAACAAAACTCCGATTTATCTTATAGAACTTGTTAAGGGCATCTCATTCAAAGAAACAAAACTCTTATTTATCTTATAGAACTTATTAACGGCATCTCATTCAAAGAAACAAAACTCTTATTTATTTTATAGAACTTGTTAACGGCATCTCTGCTGCAGTAACTTTAAAAGTCTTATTTGTGAAACCATAATGTACATATCTTGTAATTGTGACTATACAGAAGTAAATAAATATTAACAAATAACATAAACAAATTATACAATACACCGAGAGTAATTCCTTTATATATATAAAGTTAACAGACCATGTAGAGTAGGCTCCAATCTTAAATATTAAAAGATAAAACATCAAGATAATCGTGAAGTGGTGTTCTTGCTGAGATATAAACAAAAATATCAATATGATTTAGAAGTAATTCAAGCGTTTTATACATACGAAAGAGAGAGGAAAGACAGGATATAGATAACCTTAAAAGTTCGTTACTCTTCTTATAGCCGAATATGTTTCTTTCCGGCGAGTTTGCTTAAACTTTTATCAAGATTACCATTTTTTTGTTTTTGTTTTTACTTTAACTGTTCTTCCATAAAGAAACATTTTATTTTATAGATAAAAGTAGTCTTTTATAGCTGCCATAAAAGTCGATTTGAGTGTTGTTTAAACACGATATCAGCAAACCACGTCTGCTGTGGTTTTTACATTTTATAAATCCTTTCGAAAACCGAAAAAATAAAGATTTTTCAAAGTAATGAGTTCAGAACGTTCCGAAGCAAACACCGAGTTCAGAATGTTCCGAAGCAAACACCGAGTTCAGAATGTTCCGAAGCAAACACCGAGTTCAGAATGTTTCGAAGCAAACACTAAGTTCAGAATGTTCAGAAACAAACACCGAGTTCAGAATGTTCCGAAGCAAACACCGAGTTCAGAATGTTCCGAAGACAAACACTAAGTTCAGAATGTTCCGAAGCAAACACCGAGTTCAGAATGTTC